CTCTCAGCCTGTAGCTGGCGGCGTTATTTATGCAGATCTCTGGGGTGAGCTAGCACTCACCTGGTCCCACAGGCTTTGTTTGCTCAGAGTTCTCCTGTGCGTGGGAGGGGGGCCTCTGCTACAGGCTTTTCCCTTTCCAAGCACTGGGAAAGGTGACACTGCCCCGCGTTGTCAGGCCTGCGTGTTTATTTACAGTTCACGTGGGAAGTGGGTCTTCCCTCCTCTCACAAGCGTCCCCGCTCCTGGTTGCTGGTGCGCCCCGCTCCCGCCAGAGCCTCTCCGGCCTGCCCGGCTCATTTATTTACAGTCCCGGGAAGGCTTCCCTTCCCCCAATCTTCAGCGCTCAGGGCACCCCACCCTCTTTCCAGCGTGTCTTAACTGTTCTTATTGCTTAGTACTCAGTTTCTCTTTTTTTCCCGGGTGGAGGTCGGTCTGTCCAGGGGGCTATGCTGCTCTGGCCCAGGCTTGTCTGTGGGGGAACCGCGGTACCGCGAAGCTCACCTGGTCCGCGTCTTCCCAAGCCGTATGGGCGCTGGCCACTGGCGGCCCGGGGGCCTCCTCGGTTCTCCGTTTAACGTGAAGTGGAGATTGTCCGCGCCGGCTGGAGATGTGGAGGAGTCAAAGTTATGCCTTTTCTCGGTGATTATGCCTGCAAAGTGTGTCTCCAGCGTCTCTCCAAGATTTCACTATAGGAGGGTCGCTTTCTGCTTCCTACCTCTAGCCGCCATCTTGGAATTCGAGCTCTGGTTTTTCCTTTAATTACCATTTCATCTTCAAGTTCTGAGATTCTGTCTTCTGTTTGTTCTATTCTGCTGGATTGGCCTTCCGTTTTGTTTTGCAGTTCTGTTTCGTTCTTTTTTCTGAGGTTTTCCATTTCCTGGCTGTTTTCTTCTTTATTGTTGTCTATTTTTGTCCTGAGTTCATTTATCCATTTATTCATTGTGTTCTCTCTTTCACTTTGGTGTTTATACAGTGCTTCTATGGTTTCCTTTATTTCTTCTTTTGCTTTTTCAAATTCTCTATTTTTATTGTCTTGGAATTTCTTGAGTGTCTCCTGTACATTTTGGTTGACCCTATCCAGTATATCATCTCTGTAAAATTCTCATTGAGTACTTGTAGTATATCTTCTTTTAAATTATTCTTGTAGGCTTCATTGGGTCCTTTGGCATAGTTTATCTTCATTTTGTTGGAGTCTGGATCTGAGTTTCTGTTCTCTTCATTCCCCTCTGGTTCCTGTACTAATTTTTTGCTGTGGGGAAACTGGTTTCCCTGTTTTTTCTGTCTTCCTGTCATTGTCCTTGGTGTTGTTACTGTCCCTGTACTGTGTGTAATTAAGTATTTTCTAGCTTGTAATAATAACAATGGTAATATTGAGAATGGAAGAGTGAGCTGAGATGGAAAGCAAGAAGTTAAAGAAAAGGGGAAAACAAATATACAGACAAGAGGGAGAAAGCAGAACAAGGTATCAGACAAGAGAGTTTCAAAGGTATAAACAGGTAGTGTTAGTGTACTAATCGACCGTAAGCTGAAAAGACAATAGAGAGACAGAGAGAGGATTGAAAATCAAAGATAAAAAAATAAAAAATAAGTATATGAAAGTAATATCTATATATAAAAATGAATTAAAATAAAATGGAAAATAGAAAATTAAAAAAAAAAAACCAAAAAACTTCCAAGTTTATATGCAATGCAATTTCAGTCTTAATAATTTGGATGTCCGTCTCAATCTCCAGTCCTGGAGTTGGTGCCTCAGATGTTGTTCTGTAGTTGTCTCATCAAAGGGGATGCATAAAGTAGAACAAAACTGCACTCACACACACAGAAGAAAAAAAAAAAGTCCCACCAAGTGTCCCCAGTTCAAATGCAATACAGTTTCAGTAAGTTTTTCGGCTTGCAGGTGTAATTCGGTTGTTCTCTCATCAAAGGTAGGGAGAAAAAGAAAAAAAAGCGTCTGGAGGCAGTTCTGAGAGTGGTATCTGCAACTGTGGCTTGCCTGCCTGCTGCTCTCAGCCTGTAGCTGGCGGCGTTATTTATGCAGATCTCTGGGGTGAGCTAGCACTCACCTGGTCCCACAGGCTTTGTTTGCTCAGAGTTCTCCTGTGCGGGGGCCTCTGCTACAGGCTTTCCCCTTTCCAAGCACTGGGAAAGGTGACACTGCCCCGTATTGTCAGGCCTGCGTGTTTATTTACAGTTCACGTGGGAAGTGGGTCTTCCCTCCTCTCACAAGCGTCCCCGCTCCTGGTTGCTGTGCGCACGCCCGGCTCCCACCAGAGCCTCTCCGGCCCGCCCGGCTTATTTATTTAGAGTCCCAGGAAGGCTTCCCTTCCCCCAATCTTCAGCGCTCAGGGCGCCCCACCCTCTTTCCAGCGTGTCTTAACTGTTCTTATTGCTTAGTACTCAGTTTCTCTTTTTTTCCTGGGTGGAGGTCAGTCTGTCCAGGGGGCTATGCTGCTCTGGCCCAGGCTTGTCTGTGGGGGAACCGCGGTACCGCAAAGCTCACCTGGTCCGCGTCTTCCCAAGCCGTATGGGCGCCGGCCACTGGCGGCCCCGGGGGCCATCCTCGGTTCTCCGTTTAATGTGAAGTGGAGATTGTCTGCGCCGGCTGGAGATGTGGAGGAGTCAAAGTTATGCCTTTTCTTGGTGATTATGCCTGCAAAGTGTGTCTCCAGCGTCTCTCCAAGATTTCACTATAGGAGGGTCGCTTTCTGCTTCCTACCTCTAGCCGCCATCTTGGAATTCCTCTCTCTTTCTTTTTGAGACAGAGTCTTGGTATGTAACCCAGGCTGGCCTGAAACTTGCAATTCTCCCAACCTCAGCCCCAGGGAATGCTGGAATTACAGACATGTACCACCACATCTGATCCTATGAACTAGCCCAGGGGTGGTTATTCTCACTAATTTGGGTATATTCAGATAATTGAAAAATATCAGTTAAAGTGAACTCTGAGCACGACTTGTAGATTTATTCTCTTCATTAGAACACTATTGAAATTCCTAGAATCAATGCTAGTAATTTGCATTCTGTATTTTGTTTTATTATTTTTTTTCTCTTAGCCTTCACTACCTATTGATGAATCATAACTCATTCTACCAGGAGTTATTAATTGATAGCAAATAATTTAGCAATATAGACTCCTTAGCAAATGTGCCAAGTTTTTTTCCCATTTAGTTTTAACACATGTAATGTTTACCCTAAAAGAAACTCACAAATTACAAAAATTAATATTATAGGACTCAGCACAATCATTTCATAGGAAGAACATTTATTTCATATTTGAATGTGAATTTTAATAACAATTCTGTTGAAGTCACTTTTCTAAGATACCAAAGCATTAGTTGAGCTAATCAAGATAAAACACATTATCTGTTAAGAGGTGATATTTCAGGGTGTCACAGAGAAACACAAGTGCAAAATGTTTAATTCATTAGTTACAGGTGAACTTCTGGGAAGTCATATTTTTAGGAGTTTATAATATTTCATTAAGATGTATAAGTGTCCATGATAATCAGAAATGGTTATGGTTGTATAGGGTTTCTAGGTGAGTAAGGTGGGGACCCTTTCTGAAAGCCCATTATCCCTACAACACAAACTTAAAATAACAAAAGACTTTTATTTCATGCTGTCTTTCATGAACACTGAGAAGCAAATGCCACCTTTGCTTGGGGACTCTTTACTAGCAAGAAATTAAAGGGCTATCATGATATCCAGCATAGGAGTTCACCTACAAAAAAGCTCCTGACTTTTTTAAGCAAGGAAGTTCTGATGGGGAACAAGGGTTTATGTACAGTGATCACCATGGTTGGATTAGAAAGAACTGGCAGTATCAGATGAGAAGATACCTCTCTGGACAGCTTTAGCATGGTACATAGTTACAAATAGCTATGTAAAGAAACCAATCCCTGAAGACAAGTGTTTTGAAGTGGATCTGCATAATGAAATAGTAAATTTAAATAAACAAACTGCAAAGGCATCTTTTATTTGATTATATAAATATATCAATCTGTTCTTTCACTTGTAATTACATGAATGATTTGGATACAACCCAATACAGACACTCAATGAAATTTTTAGCTCAGATATTATGAACAAAAATAAAATGAAAAAATTCCCTAGGTCATATGTTTAGCTTCAAAAAAGAAAGAGAAGTCCTAGAAGATAGGAAAAATAGACTCTGTTAGTATTCTTTCTCTTTGTCTTGGAAATACCTTTTGAGGGAATGAGGTCTACAGAGTTTTAAAAAATGGAAGAGGCCCTGGAGCTCCTTTATTTCTTCAGACTTCTGAGGCCCGTGATTTGCCCAAAGTCCTACAGTTAACTGGTGTCCAGGCTGCTATATTACTCAAAAGGTGATTATATGTGCTCTGCTCTTAACCCCCATTTGTTGCTACCTAGAAGTACTTTCTAAAGTTCACATCTTCTTTGTTATGAGCGTAACCAAGAAAATAAATTCTTGGTTTGCTAGGCCACATACCAGTTTTTCCAGGCAACACATAACAGGTGGGTTGCATCAGGTAGATTGTATGAAGAGATGACAGATAGTTTCAGAGTCCAAAAAAAAACCCAACTCAGCACTAAACCTTTCCTCTCCTTTACGTCTTATAATAGCTATTGCATGACATCTAGCTGTGTTTGGCTTTTCAATTTTAAAGAACTAAAACCCTCTTTGGTTGTGTCAGGTAACATGAAATTGAGCTCAACCAATATAAGGCCAATTTTAACCTGTGGTCATTAACTAATTAATAGCATTGGCCAACTGCTGAATCTTTAGTATAAAATGATATATAAAAGTGAGAAGATCAATGTTGACTTGGTTCCATTGACATTTGTTGAACATGTCACACAAGATCTGTAGACTTGGCATCAAGCAGGTCAAACAGAGAGTATGTTGACATTACATGGGATTCAGATCTGCTCATAGCTTCAATTCCTTCTTGGAGATAATGAATAGTTTAAAGCCAGTCAGAGATGAACCCTGACTCCATGAAACATCAATGGCACAAGGGTTATGTCAGCTGTGTGTTCATGTGTCACGGAACTGGAATGCATTTTCAAGAAACGAGCTGTTTTGAAAGTCCCCCTATCATTAGGGGAACAGTGCAGGGCCAACTTACAAAGCTGTTTGCTCTTCTGAGATTTGGCCTTGATTATTTGGAGTTAGGTGAGGGTTTTCAAGTAGTTCATAGACATCTTGCATGTTGGGAAGACTCTGCCTCATGTCCCCGCTAGCCTTTTGGAGTTGAATACCAGTGCTGTTCTTTGGACGAACTCTCTGGCCCTGGAATGCCTGAGCCTGGTGTTTACAGATGCCAAACCTGCTGAGCAAGATGAACACATCCCTTTGGAAGGCTTTGGTGAAAATAGCATAGAGGAATGGATTGGCACAGGAGTTGAGTGGATAGAAGAGAACCAGCAAGATCTTGGAGTTGGTAACTGTGATGAGAGGCTTGTTCATAAGTGCTGACAGGGCATAGAATGAGATTGGGGCCATGCACATGAAGTCGGTGAAGATCAACACTGCCATCCTCTTGGCAATTTTGGTGTCTTTGTCCCGAGGGTTGTATTGGGGATTTCGGACTGTGATATAAATCTTCACATAGCAGAAACAGACGATGATGAAGGCAATGACATTGAGCAACAGAACAAGGACAATATATGCTAAAGCAAGAGGAGTCTCAGTGTCCATAGGCAGACAGATGCTGACCTTGGCATAGCTACTTATTCCCACTAAAGGAAGCAGAGCAAGAAGGAAGCAGCAAACCCACCCCCCAAGCATGACAGTATATGCGTGCCTAAGGCGGATCTTCCGGTCTAGGCGCATAGCAAAGGTGATGGCATACCATCGCTCTAGGGTGATGACTGTCAATGTGTACACTGACAATTCACTGGCAAAGACAGTGAAAAAGCCAGCTGTGTTGCACCCAGGGCCTGTCTGCCAATCTATGGCATGGTTGTAGTACTCAGAGTGAGTATAGAGGTCCACGGAGGCAATAAGGAGCAGGTATATCCCCATACAGAAATCTGCAAAGGCCAGGTTGCACATAAGAAAGCGTGGGACCGTCAGTTTATAGTGGCTAGTCAGGAGAATTAACAGGACAAAGACATTACCCAGGAGTGCTAGCAAACTAACAAACCACACCACAATTCTCAGGAACTTGTAGCCCATGATGTCTTCACAGGGGTTGAACTCATCTGACTTAGGGGTACACACCATGTCTTCATTGTCACCACACACAGTGTAGTCATAGTGGCTGTCAAAGGCCTGTAGAGTCTCTTCTTGGGGGTTTTTGAGCTCCTGGCCAAAACCAATGATCTCATCCTCTTGTTCTTCAAAGAAGACATAATAATGAGAGTTGCTCTGGGTATTCTGGAACTTGGAGTTTTGCTTGTACCCAACACTGTTATCACCTGGATCTTCATATTCTTGATAGACAGGGACACTCAGGGCATTCACAGATTTTCTCTGACGTATGCTTCGGATACTGCTGTCATTACACATCAAGGACTCAAGGATTCTGCAAGACAGTAGAAATGAGTCATCCCTTGCTTAAAATACACTAATGGTCCTCACACACTTCGAAAAATATGCAAAGTACTTATTATTATGATGTACGCAATTCTGTATGATTTGGTTGGATCTGCCTCTCCTATCTCATTTCCTATTGCCACCCCTCTCTCACTGTGACCTAGTGACATTGAATTACCTATAACCACTTCAAGAATAAGAGGGATAGGAGTGGAAGTGTAGCTCAAGTAGTAGAAAACCTGACTAGCAAATATGAAGCTCTGAGTTCAAACCTTATTACCACACATACACAGGCAAAACTGAATAGCAGTGATAAGTGATAAAAAATAAAACTATGGATTCTTGAGCTAGTCCACCTAGGTTAGAACCTGGCTCTACAGTTATGTTGCACCTTGGACATATCTGTGAAACTTGGTTTATTCATTTGTAAAGCTGGATAATGAGAGCATCTGCATTTTACAGGGTTTTCAAAGGAATCAATGAGTATCTTTACTAAGCTCTTACATACCACTTGAAGCATTGTGAGTGCCATATATATACATATATCCTGAATTTTTTCTGACTGAAAATGAGTATAGAAAGTCAACCAGCTGATACTTGTATAGAAGCTGTGAGAGACTAAACTAGGAGATAAATGAAGGTGGGTTAGAACAGACTGGCAGGTATAAGACATAAAGAGGGAAATAAGCAGAGTGAAAGTGTAAGTGAAAACAAGAGTCAGAAAGCATGGAGAGAAAAGATTCCAGCCATTCCATTCTAGAAATTATCTATTTAGTCTTTCATTTCATCTTTTCAAAACCTCTGTAGGTGATTGCATTATGATCTCCATTCCTGAAGGCTCAGAGCAGTTAAGTAACTAGGCTGGATAACACAGTTAGGAACTAGCAGGGCTGGAGCATACATTGAGCTTTTCCCTAAGCCATACACATGTATCCATTGGGCTAAGACATTTGCAAGGCCCAAACTTATCAGGCAGTCTAATTGCATGTGCTGTTTTTGTAAGCTTATCCTCATGGTTGTGGAATGTGATCCATGTGGAGGCCAGAAATCATATCCTTGTGACCTCTACAAGTTTCTACATGATCTTCTATGCCATCTTATTACCTCCCCTTGCCTATTGCTGTCCAGCAGCATTGGTCTTATTTCTTATCTGCAATCACTTTGTGTCCACAGTCATTTTGTACCATGGATTTCCTGTTCTTATAGATGGTTCCAATTATTTTCCTCCTGGTTTTCAAGCCACAGAGATTCTTCCCCAAACCCAGAAATTCAACTTCCACCATGGGCTTTGGTTGTTTATTCCAGGCCCCTTCCACTTACCCTCTGATTTTCTTCTGATTCTTAAAAGCACAGCAGTGGCTTGGATAAGAAAGGTCAGCCCGTGTGAGGTGAAGGAAACTCAAGGAAAGTGGAAGTTTCGTAAGAGTCCAAGTGTTTCTTGCTATCAGTTCCTTCAGGTGCTCCAGGCCTTTGGATGGCAGGGCAGTAACACTGGTATGAGACACATCCCTGAGATGCAGAAAACAGACAAACACAGAGAGGCAGTGAGAAGTCAGGGCCTTCTAGTCCTTAGCCAGAAAGCCCAACAGACCTGAGATTACAAGGGAATGGCTATGCTACTTCCTGCTGCTGAATATGTAATCTGAGTTCTTTACATACAGTCAAGGGGGATGTTAGGTTTCTAAGTCAGTATCTTATAAGGATCTACTATTTTTTTTTTTTTGCTGGAATTTCAGTATTTCATCAACACAAATACAATTTCCACAGACATTTTACTCTATCTGAAAACTCTTGGAATCACAGATGTATGTTAATTTTACTCTGCAAAATGATACCATACAACTGTTAAGTGATTTCAAGGAGCCAAGCAAAATAAAATTGAACAGGCTCAGTGGTACTGAAATTGTTTCAGTCTCTGTGGGAACCAGGGTTTGGGGACCTATAAATTTTTCACTAGTGGATAGGGATCAAAACCAATGTTTTGAAAGTATTCTCCTAATGATGCAGAATTTGAAAGTCTTAATTAGTTATATCATGAATGCATGACCAGGAACAACTCCCCTCAACTTTTTTTTTTTTTAAACAAACACTAAGTTTGTGTATTAACCCTATTCTTGTCACAAAACTGTGACCTTCCTGGGGAAACACATTTTCTATTGTGTTTGGTATTTGACTTTAAATTCTAGAGTTTAGTATTTTTCAAATATAAATACTTGAATTCTGCCTAGTGGTAAGAATAATCTTTGATACTTGTTACTATATGATGTTCAGGTGGTTTTTAACATGTTTGGGAAATTGGTGTAAACAACTTTGCATCTCCTGAGAGAGTTGAGGGATTTTAGAGCCAGTCTTCAGTACAGTTGTGATGTAAATGAAGTGGACTTTGCATCTGTTGTTTGGGTGCCTCTCAGGTGAAACCATCTTTCTGCCTCCAGTTCTCTGGAAACAAATTATGTGTCTGTTTACCCCATGTGCTTTCAGTCAGTGAAAGAAAAAGTATCTCTTAGCTCGTTTCCCCTGCTTTGTGATCTGCTAGATACATTGATTGTGTGTGTTCATTTGAAAGAGTTTATCCTTCTGTGGAATGTGCTTGCATTTTAATAGATATTCCTTGAGGAAATATTTGAGCAGTCATTCAGTTGCTGCATTGCAAAACATTCTAAAACTAAGTGTATAGACAATGATCTTCTTATTACGAACATAGCTTTTGTAGATCAAGAATTTGAACAGGATAAATTTGAGCAGGATGGATTTTCTAAGGGCTCTGTGATGTCTGGGACTCAGCTAGGAAGACTGGAAAGCTAAGGTGACTCAGTGATTGTGGGCTGAGGTTATCTGCAGGCTCCTTCACAGTGTGTTTGTGCCAGGACTGAGAGGACTCAAACACTTAGGTCAACTGGGACTGTTGATATGACTGCTTTCTGTGGCTTGGGATTTTCTGGTACAGAGGATACCCTTTATGATGCTCTGCAAGTGATTCAGACTTATCTCACTTTCTACAGCATTTTTTGAGCAGGAAAGAGATACTAAAATTTACAAAAGAACCAAGGTGTGTGTGTCCAAGGAGACTTAGCAAGCCAAAGATAGAACCATAACTATAATTTAGGTTTAGGTTTCTCAGCTTCAGTGTCCTTGGAGCTTTGGTCCTTATCTTCATGTCTCTGGAGGTTTTGTGCATAGATCCAAGTGCAGTAATCCCTCAGGGACTCATCAGGAATCTGGGAAGGAGGAATTGAGTCTGTGGTTTGTCTCAGTGTCTGAATGAGCACATCCCATGTGGCTTCCATTTGGGTCCAGCAGGCTGATTTGAAAGGGTGCATGGGCAAACATAGAGAAAATATATAAATATCCATAACATAATGAGTGGCTGGTCTTTATTAAGTGCTTAATAAATGTTCATTCCCACTTTGTTCCAATCTTGGAGTTTATCTGAACTCAAGCCAAAAGCAAAGGATCCTCAAAAACAGCTCCAGCCCCGTCCTTTAATTTGTCTGTACAACTCCTTATTTGACCTCTCCTCCCAGGTGCCTTACAGGTATCTCCAGCTTATCAGATCCATCTAAAACTTAGCTTATGACCCTCTACTCCTATCACAACCTGCTCCTTCTACATTTCCCCTATCATTGTAATTGGCACTCCAATCCATGTAGTTGCTCAAACTAGTCACCTTGGAGTAACTCTAACCTGTTGGGCTTCATCACCACTAATGCCCCTTCGATGTTTAATCTAACAAAAGACCTGTGGTTTTGTGGATTTTAACTCCAAAGGAATCTCAAATCCATGTGCATTTAGCCCTCTGTACGTGAGGGTTCTGAATCTATGAATTAACAAAACCACACTTTGAAAGTATTGAAGTAAGTCAGGTTCAGAAAGCCAAAGGTCATATGTTTTCTCTCATATGTAGAATATAGACCCAATACAAATACAAGCAATATTATGAAAAACAGGTCACAGTAATGGGAGGTTACTAATGGGACAGGGAGTGTAGAAGAAGGAAGTTAAGAAGGTGAATATGGTTGATGTACTTCCTATACGACAATGAATACAGTCCCATAAGGGGACTAAGGTAGAAAAGAGAAAAAGAGGGGATGAACCAATTCAGGTTATTATATAAATATATATATATTATATATACATACATATATATGTATGTATATATATATACATATATATGTATATATATACTTGGAAATGTCACAATGAATCTTCCTTTAGAGAGCTATCTTAAAAAAACAAAAAGGAAAAAAATTTTTTTCAAAAATGGAGAACAGGAAGGTAAAACAGTTCCTGTCTGAGGGTTGGATATAAGGAAAGGATGTAAGAGGGTGAAAATGGTGGAAATATTGTGTACTCATGTACATAAATGGAAAAATGAGACTTGTTAAAATTATTCTTAGAATGGGGGGATAAAGGAGAATGACGGAGGGGTGAATTCAACTATGATATATTGTAAGAACTTTTATAAATGTCACAATGTACCCTCAGTACAACAATATGATAATGAAAATAAATTAAAAATAGTCAAGTAAAATTAAAGTGAAAAAAGATAAAAAAGAAAATATTAAAAAAGAAAAATTACATCGGTACTGAATATTTACAGATGTTTTTCCTTGTTATTATTTCCTAAACAAAAAGTATAACTGGAGGAGACATGATGACAGATTAGAGATAGTACAGTCCTGTGTCTTCATGAACCTAAAATAAAACCTCAGATATGCGACTACAAGTAAAGGCAGGCAATTTAGAAAGATAGGGGAAGGCACCAGTAAAAGTACAGATAGAGACCAGGGGAAATTAAGAAATATCAAACTTCAGATCTGTAAAAGAAACAAAAGGAAAATGTCCCTTGGGTGAAGTCCCAAGAGAACTCACCTCCTGAGTTCAGCACTAGCCATGGCAATAGGCAAACTCTGAAAGGCATGCTCTGCTTTATCCCAGACTCACCACTCCACATATTTGTGTAGTAAGAGCTAGCTGTGTGCACCACTTTGCAATGGAGCACCAGCTCAGCAGGCTAAGTAAAAGATGGCAAACTTCCCCGTGGACAAGTCACAACTAACTGGTGCCTAAGTCTCCCACCCAGGGCAAAGCACTGGGACAAGCCAAGCCACAGGAATGGAATGACTCCACAGAATGTGCCCTAATCCACTTTGTCCCTAGACCCACTGCCCTGCGTATTTGTGTAGTGAGAGCTAGCCATGTACAGCACTTTGCAAATGGAGCACCAGCCCAGTGCGCTACAGATAGGTTTGAGTTAGTCAGCTGAGTCCTTCATGCAGGACAGAGCTTGAGTCCAGGGCTGGCAATAGGAGTGGGCATACTTAGCAGAACACACACTGACCCACTAGCTACACATGGAGGCTGCTCCACCCCTTGCTACTCAGCTGCTATCACACACTCCTGGAGCTGCCCACCCCTCAGAACTGCGGCAGTGGACCATGTTGGCCCAGCCCTGGAGCAGTTCAGCCCAGTGGAATTGCTCCTACTTCACAGGACCTGCCCTGCTCCCCATTAGCCACTGTTCTTGGCCCAGAGCTTAGAGGACTACCGACTATCATAACCACGCTGCACCAGAGAGGAGCCATGGCAATCAGAGTCCAGTGGACAGCCACACACACGATGCTGAGGGCCAGGGAGAGGAGGAGAACACCTGCTGCACTGGGGGACCCACTGGCACACTCTTTCCTCCTCAATGAGGAATAAGTACTGACTTTCATTCTGTTTTTTTCTATTTTTATTTTACTTCCTTTTTTGTTATTATTTTTCTATCCTTCTTCATTCCCTGACTCTATTGCTTTTTTTGTAACAACTATACTGTATTCTCATATACTATTATTTCTTATGCCTTCATCCCATACACTTCATCCATCACCACCCTACTTTTTGCTACTTAATATTTAATTCCTACACCTTCAATAATTTTTTAAACTTCCAGCATGCCCTATAAGAACCCTAGTCCCTTTTGTATATAACCTTAACAGGGGTGTACATGATATTTCCAGTTGGTTTTTACTTCATTTAAATCTGACTTGGTTTTCAGTTGGGGATTTCATTATTGTTGAACAGTCCAGTGGCAAGAAAGTGGAAATCTACCTTTGTCACTACTCAGTACTGCCCAAACATTGAGAACACAACTGTAAGACCACAGGTGATTACAACCTCTAGCTGCAAATAATCCCTGCTACTTGGGTGGAGATAGGATTGTGGTTTGGGACCAGACGGGATAAAAAGTTAATGAGACCCTATCTCAACAAATAAGCTGCTTGTGGTGGTTCACGTCTGCAATCCCAGTTCTGTGGGAGATGTAAGTAGGAGGATCATGGTCCCAGGACAATCCAGGCAAAAAGTTATTTTTCAGACTCCATCTGAAAAATAACTAAATCAAAGGGCTGGAGGTATGGCTCAAGTGGGAGAGAACTTGCCTAGCAAGCACAAGGTCTTGAGTTCAAACTCCTGTACCACAAAAACAAACAAACAAAGATAAAAAACAATCTCCAACCAGAGACTTGACCTCAGATGTGCAAATTCCAATGCAGAAAAACAAGAAACATAAAAAATAAGGTGATATGACTCCTCCAAATGTCAATAATTCCACAATAAAAGACACAAATGACAGTGAGGTAGATGAAATCTCAAAGAATTCAAAAGTATGATAATAAGAATGATCAATAAATTAAAGAGGATATGAATAAATACCTGAATGAACTCCTGAGCATACAAATAAATAGCTGAATGAAATATCATATGGAAGTCAGTAGCTTTTCTACGCACCAATAACAAACATACTAGCAAAGAAATCAGGAGAACAAATCCCATTCATTATGAACACATGTATACCACATGCACACACATACACACACACACACACACACCTAGTAACAAACCTAACTAAGAAAGTGAAAGAACTCTACAATGTAAAGTAGAAAACACTGATGAAAGAAATTGAAGGAGACACTAGAAGATGGACAAACCTCCTATGTTCATGGATCAATATAGTTAATATTATGAAAATAGTTATAATGTTGAAAAGATTCAATGAAATCTCCATCAAAATGCCAATGACATTCTTCACAGGAATAGAAAAATCAATCCCAAAATTCATATGGAAGCATAAAGTCAAGGCAATCCTGAATAAATAACAATGCTGGAGATGTCACCATGGCTGATTTTAAATTATACTACTGTCATAGTCACAAAATCAGCATAGTATTGACATAAAAACAGATATGTAGATCAATAGAATAGAAGAAAAGAGACAGAAAAAAGCCCATACATCTACAGCTATCTGATCTTTGACAGAAATGCCAAAAATGTGCATTGGAGGAAAGGCAACCTCTTCAATAAATGGTGTTACAAAAACTGGATGTCCTATCTCTCACCTTAATGTAAGACCTGAAACTATGAAACAACTATGGGAAAACATAGGCATAGGCAACAGCTCTCTGAATAGGACTCCAATAGCTCAGGAAATAAGAGGAAGGATTGACAAATAGTATTGCATCATATTAAAAAGCTTCTAAACATCAAAAGAAATAATTACCAGATTGAAGAAGATAGTTTACAGAATGGGAAAAATCTTTGTCAGCTAGTCAGTGAACAAGAGATTAATATCCAGAATTTATAAGGAACTCAGAATTAAACACCAAAACAACAAATAACCCAGTTAATAAATGGGCAAAAAGAACTGAATGGACAGTTTGCAAAAGAAGTACAGATGTCCAATAAATATGTGAAGAAATGTTCAATATCCTTAGACAAAAAGGAAACACATATCAAAACAACACTGAGAATCTATCTCATCCTAACCAGAAGGGCTATCGTCAAGAAAACACACAACAAATTCTGGTTGTGGGAAAAGGAACCTTAAAACACTGTTAGTGGGAATGGAAATTGGCATAGCCACTCTGGAGATCAGTGTGGAGGTCCCTCAAAGAAACCAAAAATAGAACGTCCCTATGACCCTGCTATGCTACTCCTGAGCATATAACTGAAGTAGGGTAAGTCTGCACCCTGTAGTGATGCCTGCACATCTCGTCATATATACAAGATAGAATATTATTCAGTCATAAGAAAAGAATGAAATTATGTCATTTGCAGGAAATTGGATGAGCTGGAGATCATTATGTTAAATGAAATAAGCCAGACTCATAAGGACGAATATCACATATTTTCTCTCATGTGCAGAATCAAGACCTAAAAAAATCAAAACAAAACAAAAATAAGGACAAGAATATAAAAAGGGACTGTTTAGGGAGGTAACCAGAGGGAGGGAGGAAGATAAAAGGAGAAGTTGATGGGGGAATTAAATATGATCGAAGTACATTATATTGAATGCATGAAAATGAAAACATTAAAAATTATAAAAAAAGGAGGAGGGAACAAAAAAGAGTAATAGAGGGGGTGAAAATGATTAAAATACATTGTATGCATGTATGGCAATATCACAAGGAACCATTATGCAAAAAAGTACAACTATTTACATAACATTTACATTGCATCAGTTATTTTAAGTAATTTAGAGTTGATTTAAAGTGTACAAGAGGCTATGCATAGGTTATATGCAAATACTTTGGCATTTTATTTCTATATACTTTGGCATTCAATTCAAGGGACTTGAGCATTCCAGAACTTTGATACCTTCACGGCGTCCTCTAATCAATCCCTTGCAGACACTAATGTCACTGAATTTACATCTCCAACATAAGCTTTCTAGTTCAAACCTTGCAGTGACTTCCCAAAGTACCATGAATAACATCCACTGTTTATAATGTGTACACATCTAGTCCTTGACATCCTCACCAACCTCATCTTGGGGGTGTAAGTTCCCTTGATGTAGCTGTATGTATCAATTAAGCATCATTCTCCTAAATACTCATGTGGTGATGCTGGTTGCTGCATTGTATTACTTCATACTTACAGGGATGAGTAGAGGGAATTACTGTCTTTTTTTTCCTTTCTTTTAATATATCCTCTCTTGCAGAGATCCATAGATGTAAACACACTTTCATTGTTACCAAAAAGGATACTTTCCAATGTATCACTGCTGCCTCACCACTAAAAAACCCAACTGGAATGAATCTTTCCCTTGAGGCCTACTGGTATATAAAAAAAATTTCCTGCCTTTTTATTCACCATTTTCCAGGGCTCAAAGCTTCAGTGTTCTTGTGCTGTCTCTTTTGACCTTCCCCTACATTTTTGTTATAAATATTTACAGTAAAATAAAATTGTGCTTGCCCCTTTCAGATATCAGTTGCTTATATGTCTACAGTCTCATGGTTCTCATTGCTACTAATTTAGGTTAGGTCTGAATTACAGTTTTATCACAGTTTTGGCAAACTTCATAATGTCTCCTAAAAATCTCCTTGCAATCCCACCTTTACAGAATGGAATATTCCTCCCAAAATGTGATCCCCTCACATTGCTTGCAAGCTTGAAACCCAAGGTTCTTCAAGGTCAACTGAATGACATTCAGGCTTCTTAGAAGAGCATACCTTCTTGATTCATTCTCCAGTGTCTCACTCTATTCTCTCCCTGTGCCTCTCTTAATCTTCCTCATTTCAATGGAATGCATTTGCAAATAACTTCTTAGGTCATATGAGAGAGATTTTCTGTGTTTTTTGAATGTTCTATTCTTGTGTTTAATCAATGTTTTACCTGGCTATAACATTTTGAGTTGCAAAATTTTATAAAATATACCACTTTTCTTCAGTACTCTTCAACTTTAGGGAATTTTATTATTAGCCCCACATTGCACATTGACCATAGGTCACACACATCACCTCTAAATCCCATCCGTCGAGGATTCTATGCAGAGCAAGATAGATGCTTCAAACACATGTCCTCTGTGAATTCTGTGTTTCTCTTCCTTCTCTGCCTTGTTACTTTAAGGATTCTA